GTAAATGGATAAACTATACATATCAACAAAAGGGATAGTATACACCAATGAGAAAAAATGACCTGCAATAATATGTAAAAATGTGGACGAATCTAACAAATATAATGAGTGGAAAAAGCCAAACACAAGAAGGGCACACTCTATTTAAATAAAGCTCACAATTAATCTATGGTGTTTCAGGGCAGGACTGTGGTCGCCCCTTGGTTGAGGGACTGCGAGGGGCATGAAGGGGTCTTCAAGGGGGCCTGTATGTTCTATTTCTTGATCTGCTGCTGGTTACCTGGGCGTGCTCACCTTGCAAAAATCCACTGAGCTGTATCCTTACAATCTGCACAGTTTTCTGTACGTGTGCTATACTGCAATAAAAAGTTTAAAGATGTGCTGCTATGGATACAAGAGGAATACATTTAACGGCATAAGTGAATGTACCCCTACATTATTAAGTGTATCCTGTGGAACAGAAGCCATGCCTGTAACCACTAGGCCAAACATTCCTGGAGACGGTGGTGTCCCAAGGGAGTGGCCACTGGGGCCACCTGGAGCCTCATTCTCCCTTCCTTTCCATTCCCCTCAAGCCCCAGCTCTTCACTCCCCATATCTGCAGGTTACTAAGTGTCATCTCAACACCCCAACACTAGGCTCTCTCCTCACTACCACTGGCATTACTGAGCATCTTCCAGAAGCCTTTATTGGTCACCTTCTGTATACAGGGTACAGAGTACAGGCACTAGGATAAGAAGAAGTACAGGACATGGGAGCTGACCGAGGGTTTCCAAGTATGTCTGTATAAATTGTGTGTCCCTACATATAAATCATTTGAAAGACGCACATTTTTATATATGTATTTTGCAAATATAAGGTAATGCAGACTATGCTAGGCATCAAAAAAGGTGGTATAAGTACCAAATGTTATTTGGATTTAGATGCAGCTGGGACATCGGGGAGAGTCTTAAGAAAGACCTAATCTTTTCACCTTTTAAAAAGGGTAGGCATGGAGCGACATCCCGGTATGATGTGTCTCCCGAGGTGATGCCACAGGTAGAACACAACATCATCTGGGAGGTATTGAAGTCATAAATGGTTAATTCATCAAGGCCTTAGAACTGAATTCTAGTTTATAGGAAAGAGGCTAGAGAAACAAGATAAATGACATCAAGAGGCCCTGACCAGACAATTCCAGAACGCAGGACATCCTGCAGGATAGGAGACTAGGTTTATTTTAAGCAGTCAGGGTCATAAAAACTGACTCTTCTAGGTAAAACAGAAGTGAGGACATGGTCACCATCTGCAGTGCATGTCGCTGGAATGGATTCTGGTTTGGATAACTGGCTACAAAGGACATTTTTGAAACAACTGAAGATATCTGAATATGGGCTGGATGAAAACGATACTGCCAGATGGGGAAGGACAGTGGGGCTAGGAAAGGGTGGGGGCAGGGGAGAGGGGAGGAATGGGGAGGGCCAGGACAGAGCCAAGGGCAGGGTAAGGGGAGTAGAGTAAGGGCAGAGTGAGGTGGGGACAAGGAGACAGTGAGGGGAGAAGAAAGGGAATACAGAGCAAGGAGAGGGCCCGAGGGACAGGGCAAGGTAGCTGGTGGCGGCGGCAGCAGCATCGGTGGCCAGTGACGGCAGCAGGGATCCTGCAGGCCTGGAAGCCCTGGTGAGAAGTCAGGCTCCCAGGTGGGTTTGCGGACAGTGGGCACCCAGCTCCACCTCGCCCTTACCCCGTGACTCCTGGTACCTGCCCGACTGCTCATCAACAGTCTTCCCTCCTGGCCTCTCCCACCCTCTGGAAGCAAAGATTCTGGCCTTCATCTCTCTGGCTGGAGTGTTTCTGTGTGCCTGTCCACACTGCTGTCTGACCAACCCCTGCTGAACTGCTTAGACCAGCACCACTGCAGAGTAACTGCTAGGCATCCACTATCATCATTATATGCTTTGCTTTCATCTGGGCCCAAGGGCACAGCTTCCCCGGCCCAAGACACCGGGTCATTCCAAGGAGAGGACCCCTGGAGATCACGAGCAGAAGCCCGAACATGAGGACTGCACAAGCCCTTCCACATCCTGGGGGTAAAGACTCTAAAACAGAAGCTGGAGACTTAACTGGATAATTCGGACTAAAACATCACCTTGTTTATGGGACAAAGTTCTCATGAATTTTATGACTCTGTGGAAAATATTTTGAAGTACAAATATCCACTTAAGAGTCAAGACTAGTGCTTTCCCAGATGGCAAACAGCTTAAAGACGTGCTCTAGCTCTGCCAGGTTTATTGGTAAGGACACTAATTATCTTATTAGAAATAGGTTCCTTTCATAATGATGATTAGCTTGCTTTCTTTTTTAATACTGGGAAAAGAACATATGCATATTTCATCCCTGGCCAACGGAAACCTTGGGCTTCTCCAGAGCAGAAACGCCCTAACCCACTGAGCATTAATCCCCAGTCACACCCTCCCTCCCTCCCGTCAGAAACATAAGGCTGAAATTCTGTTTGAATTTTGGGGTGGCTTAAAACTAATTTTGTTCTGAGCATTGTGCAGCAGTCCCCGAGACAGACGTGCAGCTATGGTGGCACTCTCCACGTGGGCAGCCCTGCGGTAGAGATGTCACGGGCTCTGGGCAAGGCTTCACAGCTGCACTCGCCAGGGGAAATTTCATGTTCTGTCTTCAAGGCAGGAAGGCTGGATTTAATGCGGCTAAAGCCAGGGGAGGATGTAGAAGCGTTTCAAATGCTCAAGTCAAATCTGAAGAAAAACTGTATAAATTATCTGTGTTTTTGGGACTCAAGGTCGGAGAACGGGGTAAGCGGGAAGAGTGGAGATGAACTCAGCCTTGGTGGCCAAAGCCATAATGGCTAGGGAGACAATAAAGGGTGCTGTGAACTTTCAAGGTGACCTCTCATGGGGCTCAGCTTGCCCCTGACACACTCGGACAGTAGAGCCAAAGAGAAAACTTCCCTTTGACACCCCTATTCTGCTAAGGGGGAAAAATTGCCAGTGGCCACCTGTGTAGTTGTTACCTCCAGCACCTCTTGGCACGTCTTTAAGATGTTAGGACGACTAACCAGTGGTTTCCAAGGGGGAAATTTAAAACTCTGCATGGCCACAAAGAGCCTCTACAGGCACCAAGAGGAGATAAAGGGAGCCGATGGTGCGACAACCCAGGATGGTGAGGGGTGCCCCTGCAAGAAGCAGGAGGTGGTCTCCCCTGATGCCAATGAATGAGAGCTGTAACCATCTGGCCCCAGCAGATGCCACTGGTGTCTTATGGCGCATCTCAAAACAGACTGTGACCTCCCTGGCTTCAGGGAACTCTGCAGGCACCCGGGGAGGCCTCTTTGTGCAGAGTGAGGTTACTGACCTTGCGTCCAGAGAATGGAATTGACTCTCATTAGTTGTACTAATGAAATGTATATTCTAGAATTGCACTGTCTAATACACTGGCCATTAGCTACAGATGGTTATTTAATTTTAAACTAATGAAAATTAAATAAATTAAAAATTCCGTTCCTCAGTCATACTAGCCACATTTCGAGTGGTCAGAAGTCACATGTGGCTGGTGGCCACCATATTGAACAGGACAGATACAGAACCTTCCCATCATCACAGAAAGTTCTATTGGACAGTGCTGCTTGAGTTTTTGTTTGTTTGTTTGTTTTTGGTTTTTTTGCTAAGGAAGATTTGCCCTGAGCTAAAATCTATTGCCAACCTTCTGCTTTTTGTATGCGAGCTGCTGCCACAGCATGGCCACTGACAAAAGAGTGGTGCAGGCCCACGCCTGGGAACTGAACCCAGGTTGCTGAAGCAGAGTGCACTGAACTTAACCACTAGGCTACCAGGGCTGGCCCTCAAGATGTAGCCTTAACAAGCCAGTCACCTTTCTTATGTCATTCATCCATGCCACAAATGGCTGTGGCCCACTATACTATACAATGCCTGCTGCTATTATATTAACACGTTAACATTAGACATTGCTATTTAGATAGTAACAAGTGACTCACGTCCAAAATTAAGTCCAGCTCACGCCGTACAACCTTCTAAGACTTTGGATGATTTAAAGCACGTACACTCAGAATTGAGACTGATATCTCCTCTAAAGATGTTTTCTGGCATTTCAAGGATTGCAAATAATGTAGAATTCAAATCCTGTTCCTGACTCTGCTTATTCTTGGAGCGCAAACTGCTCACCAACCACCACACGGTGTGGTCGAAGCCCCCTGCTAGGATTTGCTAGGATCAACGAATTTGGTGTTATGTTTCACTTCCTTCGGGATCCTGCTGACTGGCAGCCCTCAGAATCCGCACATGCTGGCATGCTGGCCCCGCTCCCCAAATTGCCTCCCAGCTTTGATGCACCCCAGTGACTCAACCTGCCTCCATGTTAACCCGAAAAGCCTTCTTTTGCTTGACACTTCTCCACTTCGGGCAGACTTCCTCTCTGCCTTCGAAAAGCTGACATCTATAGTGCCACTTCATGCAGCAAATTCTCAGAGATAACCCATTCTTGGGGAGGGGTACTGGGTGCCACGAGACCCAGGACCCGTGTGTGTCCCGAGGGAGTTTACAGAAACCAAGCTGTTAGGTTCACGTCTCTGCTGTTAATTCGAAGGTGCTGCTACTGCTATTTCAAACTGTAATAGTGTCTACAAACAATTTGCACTTTGCAGCGGCATGATCCCCGGGGGGTAATTAACAAACCTGGGGAAATAATCTTTTTAAAATCTTTAAAAGTAACATAGATTGAGGCCACCATCAATGAAACGGAATCACTCCCCCTTCTCTGTCATTTTAGAAGATACTGGCTGACTCCTAGAGAGGTTTAGCAAGCATAGGTGGAGGGCTTTACAGAAAATTCCTCAAGACGTGTTAATCAGAAATTAAATGCCACATGTTCATCAGCGGCAGAGCTTTCTGAATGGGGCGGGCTCTGAAGATGGGCTAAGATGACAAGAGTGAGCAGCAGAGTTCGTAAGGGCTACCCAAGGGCTGTGACTTCCATACCGTTGACCACGCCAAGGTAGAAGACCGCGTTCACCAGCACGCCTCCTTTCCGGAAGTGGTCACTCATGTGCTCCAACCAGTTGGCATCCAAACTGCTCACCATCTGGCCGTTCCTGGAGACCCGGAGAGGGATGGTGACAGGATAGTATTGCCGGCACTTCTGATGGTTCTTCGGTTTGTTGAAAAGGGCGAAGATCTCCATTTCTGCTGGAATTTGTAAAGGGAGAGGGGAGAGACGAGGTCAACCGGTGATAAAAATCTGCCTCATTGCGTCTAGTGGAATCTCTTAGGAGCCTGAAGAAATGATACCAAAGGTAAAATCTCTGTTAGCTTCACTGTTGCCGAATAATAAAACTCGACCCCAAATACTAAGTTAGGGCGCCGTGAAAGCGACGTGGACCTCAAAGGTTGAGCTTCAAGTTGGGGACTCAGGTTTTGAACCTGGCACATAATAAATATCTGTTATCTGGGATTAATTTGTACAGTGAGGTGTTTGAGAAAAGGACATAGTAGACATTTCTAGAAATTCATACAAAGATGTGTTTTGAAAGGAAAAGCAGATATATTTGGGTGAGAGCTGGTTTTCAAAAAAAAAAGTAAATGTGCAGAGGCACATAAAAACAAAAATACGGCTGTAATTCCAGGAAACTTGTACACCCCCGAACTCACTATTTATAAACTGCAGTGGTGTTTCCTGGGGCCGAACACATAATACTTAATCAAGTACATCAAAAATACATCATTGATATGTAAAAATAAATATGTTCCAGTAAATGAGGGTTCCTGCCTGGAGTGGCAGGTCGCTCAAACAGCCAAGCAGGCGCGGGAAGCACGGCGCCGAGCTTTCTGTTCCTTGCTTTATAGCTCAGTTCTTCAAAAATCGATACTCACTCCCACCCAACAGCTGACCCACGCCTGCCATACGTGCTGCCGGCCATGAGTGAGCACTATCGGCCTCGGGGAGCCAATACTTGGAATTTCAATCTAAGTCTGAAGGTCTATTTTTGTGTTACTCATTTAGTCAAGCAATCAGAGTTCATCCAGCTTAAAAAGCTTTGGTTACACAGTCTGGTCAGGAATATGCTTTGGTTTACAAAAATATATATTTGGATAATAAGAAAAGCCTCACTTTTCTTTTAAGGAAACATTTTAAAGGTCATAAACAATGGTTGATATTAGCACAAAGGACAAAGCACATTCACGCTCCCTGCAGGAGACACCCGGCCTAGACCCACACGCTGGGACGCTGTATCCCATATTTCACAATTTTTGCAGTATCCAAATGCTAGCTGAATTATTACTTCTTAAAATGGATTCACTTTCCTTTATTTAAATAAATGCATTTAAAAAGGAAACTTTGCTTCATGATTATAAAGGAAACAACTACCACTTGCCATAAACAGGAGGGAAGGATAAGGCACGTTAACACCAAATATGCCCATCCAAGTAACATCTAAAATTATCTCACATAGTTTTTGTAATCTGGGACAAAGGAAGGCTTTTCAAAGCCCAATCTGAGCACATATCAGCAGAGATTTCTGGGGAGCAGTGCTGGGCCACGAGACTTTGTCATCAGCAACAGTGAAGCTAAAAGGGGAGTCATTTCAAGCTATCCATTGGATAGAACCAACTAGGAAGGGAAGGTGCCCATCTTCACAAGTGGCCACCTGGATTTTAACAATTGACTTTGGCCTATTCATCATCCCTACCCCAAATTACTTTTCTCAGTCCACTTGCCTGACTCCAGCCAGTAAACACTTTCACAAGAGAAATTAGGTCTTGGCGTACAGAGCTGGCAATCACTCGACTATTTTGTGACTTTGAAATACACACATTAGGAATGGAGTCATGCAGAGAAAGGTTTGTAATGGTGGGGAACTAAGCTATAGATTGGAGCTGGGAGACAGGAGGTGATCAGGCCTTTTCCAGTCCTAGGTGCCAGAGGTTCAAATAAAAGCCACAGCTACTAAAGTCAAGAGGAGAAGCAATGGGATTTCCTCAAAAGCAGACCTTGTAAGTTTTGGGTACCAGCAGTTTTTCTGGGAAGTGATCCCAGGAAAGAGAGTGAGGGAGTAGGGATGGAAAATAGGGAAGCGACGAAAGCCAATGGAAGGGACATTAACGATCAGCTTACGTCTACAGCAATCGGGGCCCCTGAGACACCACACAGAACACACTGCAGGTTGTCCTACCAAGGGGCAAGGAAGCTGGGGCATTTGTCCTCAGTGACTGGAGGCCACTCCTGAGGCATTAATTCCCAGGGCAGCTGGCCTGCGGGCGTGTTCCCACTCCAGAGAACGCCTGCAGGGAGAGGCCAAGAAAGCTGACCGCAGGTGACCTCAAGGTGGGCCAGAGGACCAGTCACCATGGTATGCTATGGTCAAGCATAGACACACACAAACGAAAAAGAAAAAGAAATCACAGCCTCTATGTGGGAGAAGTAAGTGGGGAATTTGGAAACGGCCAAAGTCCAAAAGTGCATGACAACACTTGATCATGCAGAAGGATTCCCCATGAGAGACAAAAACACAACTTTCCCAAATGCGTAACGAAACAGAAAAAGGGGAAGGCCAAAAGGAGAAGCGAGAACACTGGGCTTGGGGTGGAAGTGGATGCTGCAGTGCTGACGGCGCCCCCCCCTTTCCCGCTGGAGCCTCCCCAGGGTGGAGGACCAAAGGCAGAGACAGAAATACATTTTTCAGGAAGGAAAGGAAACACTGTTAGAATCAAGAGCCTCCAAAGCATTAGTAGTGATAAAATATTGGGAGAAAGCTGATTTCAGATGTGTAAGCCTTTGGTCCACTTCCCTGCCCCACTGTCTCCCTGGCCACGATCCTCTCTATTCACATGGAAACCAGCCAAGAGAAACTGACCCAAAATGATGCCCTTTGATGTTTTAATATTCTGATTCTCCAACACACATCCTTACATGAGCAGGCACCAGGGATTCCAAAAAGAAGCCCCGCATTTGTTTAAATTTTCTCAGCTGCTCTGTGACTCTGCCATGACCCCAGTTGCAAGATTTTTCCAGACATGGGACAGAAAGTCCCAAAGGAGGGGGAAGGCATTGTTTCTAAGAATGTTCTGAGAACAGCTGAAGAACTGGCCTGGCAGAGCACCCCAAGAACATCAGGACTGTCTTTTCTTATATTTCTATTTCTGCCTTGTTGTCTTTCTCTTTCCCCCTGACGGGGGGGGGGGGGGGTCCTTGCCTTGTGCCATTTAGATCCCCTGTGTCCAGAAAGGTCCCTGTAATATGGTAGGTGCTGCGAATGTCTGCTGGATTGACCTAAATCACACAAGTACGGGAAGCTAGCGGAGGAAGAAGGGGTGTGGGGCTCATGGGGTGCTGCCAGCCTGACAGCCAGGTCCACTCAGGCCTTCTCTGCCCCTTGGGAATGGGAAGGAACGAGGCAGATGGCCAGCTGTGAGGCCCGTGCCAGGCAGCAGGGACTTAGGCACGGGATGGCAGTCTGCAGTCCGTCTGCAGGAAGGGCCCAGAGAGCCCGTGACTTGCAGGTAATAGGCGAGCTGGTTGGGTCCTGGTGGTCCAGGAGACCTCCAGGCTGGAGGGAAGGGAGGGTTCAGAGTCTGGCTTAAAGGGTGGGGCTCCAAGGCCTAGACTGGGAGAAGGAGGAGGCTGGCGAGTTAGCTGGGTGGAAAGGAACAAGTGGGAGTCAGACTTGGCCTGGTAGGTGGACCAAGTGGGGTCTAAGGTCAACTGAGGTCAGGGGCAGGTGAGCTAAGATGAATGGTTTGCACTGGGAAGGCAGCGCCATGAGCGCCATGGTGGGAAGAGAGGGCCTCGGGCCTGTCCAGATTCCTGAATCTGGGAGCAGGCTGCCTCAGGCTTTGATGGGGCTCTGGTACTAGAAGCTGGGCACCTCTGGGCCTGGGGGAGGCCTGATTGCCAGAGCAAATTGTGGGACCCACTGCATGCACAGCAATCCACAGAGTCCACGTGTAAGGATGACGACAGCCACAGGCACGTGTCCTGTACTTACCAGGGCTGTTCACCTTCACCATCTCACGTGACTCCCCCAAGCTCCACAGAAGGGGCTGCATCGGTTCTGTGCCCAGAGGCCTTAAGCGGATCCCCCAGAAATCACAAGCTAAGCGGCAAAGCCAAGAGTCTTTCAAACCCCAAACTCTGGGCTGTTTCCCAGATCGAACAAGAGGCTAATTTCACCAACACACAGAAGCAGAAGCTGATGACCACGGGTAGGAGCTCAGTAGCTGTTTGTTAATGGACTGAGTGAAGGCCAGAAAGATGATGGCAGGTGGCAGATTTGGGAGGGGGCAGAACCACAGGGTAGAACCATCCTGGGGGTGCAGGGAGGGGAGGATACTGGCCCAGCAATGGAAAGGGGGCCACGCATCAGAAAAGCCAGACTCAGGAGGGTACCTCCTCTCTCCCTGACCATGAGCTGGCTGCCAAGGAGGCTAGGGAATTAAAACCCCTCGGCCAGGCAGCACTGCTGGGATCACGGGCTCTGGCTTCTGGCTGGCATTTCTAAGCATCCTAACCGAGTAGGTGCAGAGCAGGAAGGGCAGTGCTTGGAAGACTTTTCAGTATTATTCTGGTGACAATGAGAACAATCTGAATTTGTGTGAACCCCTCTGGCCTCCTTATTCTCCGACTGAGGTTGCAGCTACAGAGACACTGAAGGAAGGACAAGATGGACGGGAACGTTGGAGGCCACGACAGAAGTGACAGTGGACGTCTGTGCCGCCTTCCTAACCTTTCCCTGTGCTGGCCTGTTCACGTCAAATGAAGAAAGCAAGCGCCTCACCCACAGAAATGCATCACAAGGGGCTGTGCACGCTCTTCTGAGCGGAGCTGCTGGGGCTGTGTGTGTGCTCATGATGAAGGGAGCACGGGGCTGTCCCCACCCCAGCTCAGGTGATCTCTGCACAGTACAGACACCAAACCAACAGGAAAGTCCCCGGGACGAGGAAATACAAGTCAATGAGCTGGAAGAAAACCACATGATGGGCCTCCCGAGGGGCCTGCGTAGGCAAAGAGGGCACAACCCCTGGAGCAGAGTGGCCCAGAGCCCAGGGGACAGGGAGGGGCAACTGCCCTGTTTCCGGATGGAGGATTCGCTGCAAGCCCCAGCTGAGCAGCCGCAGCCTCGACTCCGAGGCTCCCCGAGGCCTCCTATAAAGGAAATAAATTAAACGAGGAGAAGAGGAGGGGAGGGAGACTCCCTCTGGATTTTTTTTAATTGTCTTGCTGTGATTGCCTATTTAAGCCCACCTGGCAGAAAGAGGAGTAAAAACACTTCACCGTCCTTAGGGGGCCCTGAGAGAAAGGCGAGCTGGAAGCTGAGCAAGCAGCAGAGAGGGGAAGCTGGGGGTGGGGCGGTGATGCCGGTGGACTTCCCAGGGAAGGAAACAATGACAGGAGACTTCCCAGGAAAAAGATTAGGAGGGAAGCTGGGGTCGGGTGAGGGCCATGACCAGTGAGGACAGGGTCCCTGGACGTTCGGCCTTCAGGGGGACTGAATGCTCAAGCTACGAGATAAAACTTATCTCTAGGAGGGCATGCAAGGTGACTTTCCTTATCTGTGAAATGGGCATAATAAGAGTATCTTCTGTCTTAAAGCTGTTGTGAGGTATAATCCAAGTGGACACATGAGAAGAACTTATAGCGCTTTACTCAGAGGGCTGCTGCTGTGGTGACTGCTGTCTGTCCATCCCCAGAAAGCCCATGCATGTGCACTGGTAGCCCTGTGTGTGTGTATTAACTGATGAAAAAATCCAAAGGCTCAGTTATTCCACAAAAAGAGGAATAAAGGATAACAGTCAGCTGCCCAAATTTCAGAGAGACCTCCTCAGCAGAGAGGTAAGCACTGTGTGTGGACAACAGACAGCTGCCTACCTAGTGAGCTGGGCAGGGGGTACTGCAACACCCTCCACAGCTAAAGTTCCCCTCCACTGGGGAGTTGACCGCCTCCAGAAACACACACATTACTCCATTATTCCCCAGGAAGAGGAATGGATCTTGGAGGCAAAGGAATCCTGGAGAAAGATGGATTCTGAAACGTGGGAAGTATCTGAAAACTGCCGAGGGAACCTCAGTGTTCACTGCCCCCTTCTCAAAGCCAGGCTCCTAAGCAGAGGTGCAGTCAACGGTCAGGACGACTCAGCCCGCGTCCCAGTAATAACAGCTCTCACTTCTGAGTCAAGCAGTGCTAGGCATTTTAAATGTACATCTCACTTAATCTGTCAACAAAAAACTATCTTTTTATCCTTATTTTACAGGGTAAGAAACTGAGGCACAGAAGGGTATCTTGCCCAAGACTGCCCAGCTAGAAGATGGTAGCCTGGAATGTAAACTGAGTCTGCGTTAACCACTATGCTACCCGCCTCTCCATGACTCCTGCCCTTCTGAAGCCTCACCCTCCCACGGCCCTGGGTGGTAGAGAAGGGTTCTAAGGAGGCCCGTCTTCCTTCACAGGATTCTGAGCACACATCCAGCTCAACAGCAATGAGAAGATGGAATTTTCTAGAATAAGCCTTGGACATTCACCAGGAGGCACACACAGGGCCTAAATGTGCTCTCAGCTACTCTGGAGGGAGCAGAAGTCTACCTCCAACAGTATGAAAAGTCCCACGAAGGAAGAGCTCTACTTCAGTACACATTCAAGAAGGATCCAGGCCTTGATTAGACAACAGTCTTAATATATCCCAGCACTGGGGTGTGCCAGTCTCTCCCTCTAAATCAACTTTGCGAATAAGTCCCAGAATGAACCATCCCACAATTTTCTTTTCAGGAAGAAGTGACATAATAAAAGAAATGATTTCACCTTCTTTTCTATTCTCAAAGCCTTAACTGTTCCTCACCATTTATAAGAGGCTAATCTCAATAAATAAATAATAAATAATAACCATAAATAAATAATAACCACATTAATCAAGGAGATGATCCAGAAAGGCTACAGAGAAAGGCCTCCTAAGGCCTGGGGGTCTCCTCCTGTCAGTCTTGTTATTTATGCACCTTCCAAAGGCCAGAGGAGGCCTCGAGCTCATCTAGCGCCCTGCTCTTGGGAAACGGCTGGATGCTAGATTTCCCGGAGAAAGAAGAGGAAAGGGAATTATGGGAAATGAAGAGAAACTACACTCCCTGTCAACTGAGGGCCTCAGTAAATCTTGTTATAGGGTTTTACACGGGACAGACCAGGTAGAGAGGTGTAATTAAAGGGATAACGGTTAAGCCCACCTGGGGTCACCTGCTGAATCTACCAATTTCAACAGTACCCTCTAAATCTCAGTCAACTCCACTGTAAAATGGGCAATGCCAGGGCTCACCCACATCCGAGGGCTATAGGGAGAAGGAAGAGATCAGTCGTATAAAATGCTTATTGGCACAGGGCCCGCTATGCAGGAAGTGCTAACAAATGTCAGCTATTATCATCCTGGTTGTGTTATTTGAAATCCAACCTAAAGCACAGGCTCTAATGGCCATTACAACGTGATTAAGAGGATTCCCAGACTGGTGGCCTCTCCTTGGCAGAGTGTTCTCTCCACGGTGCTGATCTGTCAACTATATAAATGCCCTGAAATCTGGTTGTTTACAGCCCAGGCATCTGAATCACCAGTCTCCTGCATGATTTGTCCTCAACTGGCTTTCTTGATTTCTTTCTTTAGGCAGACATTCAAAATAAGCAGACCAAGAGCGGCGTGTACATTCTGCAATGGTGCCCAGCACGTTAACGCTTCCGGTGTGAGAACAGGGTCGTTCAAGGGCAGTGCGGGAGCAGCGGGGGATGAAATAACTTGAGTTCTAGATTCTACTTCAAACGTGACATTTTGAAGCACCTGGAGGTCAGTTTCATGTGGTTCTGCTGCCCGAAGTCAAAGCTTCAGTAAGTAAGCAGTCAGAAGGCCCAGAAAGACTGCTTGATGAAGTTTCTCCAGTTTGATAAACTACTGTCTCGACACTGCAATTCCATTTCTTTTCCTAAAATGCTGTGGGGATTACTGAAAAGCTGTTAGCCTCTCTTTAAGCAGGTCAAAGGTCCCAGCAGCACCGACATACTTACTTCCCGAGAGTGGCTCTTCATGCACTTCCAAAGGGTCACCATCCTGTCCATCCAGAGCCTGGCTCACCCCGCATGGTGACAATCCAGCACCATCCCCCTCTGCCGAGGGCAAGCTGGGTTGCCGGGCGCCAGGCGCCTCCTCTCCTGAGCCCTGGCTGGGCTCTGCGCTTCCATCCATCCGTCCTGGAGCACTGCACACGTCCACAGCCCCCGGGCTCTCCTTCTCCCCACACCCGCCCGGCTCCTTTTTCGCATCTCTGGCTTCCCCCGGGGGACTGCTGCCTGCAGAGTTCACGGGGCCACGGTGCTGAGGTATGACACCGACGAATTTCAGGCCCCGACTCGCAGCCTCCTGGATCTGTGAGGCAAACAAAACGAAGGGAACCAAGTGAATGGGACGTTCTTTCAAAATGGGGTGGGGGCGGGGGACACACGCAACATCCAAAATGCCTCCTTGGAGGCCTTTGAGGATATTTCAGTTTGAACATGAAATCTATCAGAGGCTCCATGTCCTCAATGCAGTGGCCACACCCTAACCTTGGGCAGACTGGGGACAGACAGCGTTGGGCTTATTGTTTTCAACTATGAAAAAATAAAGCATTTGGCTATGAAGAGCTGGCATTACCTCTCATTGAAACACTGCTTTAATCTCTATTAGTTGGTTTTTTCTGAGAGGCTGAAAAAGGGTTCTAAAAAGATGAGCTGGAACAAAGCATTTGAAAGAGGAAGTTCATCTTGGTAAGAGTTTATTTTTTCTGATGAATCACCTACTTCCTGCCAATCAGGCTACTGTATGAAACAGTATGCCTATATAACCATATACTAGCTACCAGATGACATTTTATGACCCAAAGAGCTTCCTCTTTTAAATAATTGCTTTGGCAGAGAAGGGCAGAGGTGGAGAAAACCACTGCTGTGCGAAAGCTGATGCCACACATGCCGCCAGAGCGGGATCTGATGGACACCTGCCCGTGGTGCTCTCCGTCCCAGGTGAAGCCAAAGGAGCCGGAAGAGCTCGCCCTGCCCACAGGCATTGCTCCGGCAGACCCGTGACTCTCCAGACCATGGTGCACATCATCCAGCCTACCTAACTCGGAACTTCCGTCTCACTTCCTGGGCCTGCAAGATGGGAGACTAACGGCCACACTGAGGACTGTGGCGCTTTAGCTCTCCCCTCCCTATAAAAGACCCCCAGGCAACTGAATTTAATAGTCACAGGTGAAAGAAAAATTGAAAGTAATAGACTAATAAAATGATGCAAGAGCCGCCCAAACTAGAAGATGGGCTTTAGGAGGCTCTGGGCAAGGATACTCAAGGCGCTTTACAAATAAATCGGGAAGTGGAGACCTCAGAGCTGTTAAAGTCTTAGTCATCAACCCCTCAGCAAATGACCTCAGAAAATGAGGCCTCTGCAGTGGTCATCCTCTGTCATGTAAGAATTAGGAAGACATGCCAGCATGGAGCTACTCTCCCTAAGGGAGAAGCAAGACTTGGCAGCCCTCCTTGGAGGAACCACCCTAACTTTAAGCAGAAGGTCATTTTAGTTCAACCCTGCACATTCTAGAAAACAATCGAGAGCAGTTGCAAATATGCAGTCCAGTCTTTCTATATAGTCCATCCTGTGCTAGACATAATAATAGTAGTAATTATCTTCTATTGCAGACCTACTATGTGCCAGGCACTACATTAGGCATTTTACATAAATTGTTTGTTTAGTCCTTCAATGATCCTGCATGGGATCACTATCTCCATTTCAGGTGAGGACACTGAGGCCCAGAGACTTTAAAGTCATAAAGCAAGCAGTGAGAAGCCAGGGTTCAAAGCCAGGTCTGGCCCAGGCCAAGTTCATTGTCTCAACCACAAGACCAAATGGATATATCTCAAGGCATCAAGTACATACATGTTCTTGGACATGCGTGTGTCTACACACATGCCCACGGTTGGCCCAATTCACTCTTCAAAATTAAAAAAACAAAAAACTTAAGGTCATCTTTTCCATTCCAAAAATTTATTTTTCACTCTGTCTGCGATATCCTCCTACTTTTAGAAATTACTGGCACAGGGCCAATAAAAGCTTATAAAAAAAGACACAGGTAGAAAAAATTTTAAAAGAAAAGAGTGGGGAGATGATTATACCAAAGAACTTTAGGTTAAGGGAGTTACTGCATACAAAACTTGGCTCTGAGCTTCCTGGCAACATAGGCAAAAAGAGAAATGCAATGGATTTTACAGCCCTCACATGAAATAAGGAAACACACCTGGTCAATAAAAGAGAAGCGTAATTTGCTAGTAAGGAACAGAGAAATTTGTTGTCTAACTCTTACAGAGATATGGAGCAAAATTTTATAGAAAATGAAGAGACCTTCTTCTTACACCATTTCTATATTCTAAACCCTCGATAGAAGGTGAAGACATTATGCTAAGCACAGGTCTTTGAAGGCCCTTTTATGTGGAGCTAAAGTAATCCAGGTGATTGACAGATGTGGACAACTGCAACAGACGGCAGCCTTCTAAACTGCGCCAGCGCCTGGGCACCGGGCCAGTGTGGTACCCACTTCTCAAGCTCCCGCTGCAGACAGGTGAGATGGCTTCTCTCTAGTCTTGGCTGTCCGCGAAAGGAGGCTGCAGCCTGCGCATCTGCAGAAGGGCTTGGGAAGACTGGCTTTTCACTTAGCTTGAACACGTTATGCAAATTCTCAACACACTAAGCCTGCAGTCAACATAAACTAAACTTGCACAAATTTCTACATCTGAGAAAATAATTTCCAGGTGTAGCTCCTCCACGCAGGACAATTAGCTATTTCCCCCCAAAGTGCAGACCGTTGTTTCAGCTCTCCAGCCCCCTGCATCCCAGTCTGGCTCTCTCCCTAATAAACGCCAAGTCCGAGTCTCTCCATCTGCTCAGTGCTTGAGAAATGGGTGACCCGAGGCCCCAGCCTTGCACGGGCCCCTGCCACCAGCTCCTCACTACAGAGGAAGCAGCTGTGAGCTGAAGCATTTTTAAAACTGGTCCCATGAGGGCTCAACCATAGGCCAGTCTCAACTTGAGTCACGGGGTTTGAAGGCAGATAGGCCTGGTTTGGAGGCCCAGCTGTCCGACTCACTGGCTTGGGGAACCAGAATGTGCTACATGAGCTTTCTGTGCTTGTTTTCTCATTGATAAAGTGGGGGAAATCATATTTCCCTTGGCAGTGCTCTGAAGATTAGACATTATGTATGGCAGGGGTGCCGAAGGACAGAGCACAGAGAAGGTACTCGTGGCCACTGTTATTGCTCTGCCCTCTCTCCTTATCCGCCCCAGGCCTCTGCGGTCCTGCAGAGATGGCTGAGAGTCATCCAGAGTGAGGAAGCGGGGACTCTGGACACAGGGCATCACCCCGGCCCTCTCCTTCCTCACTGGGACTTGAGGAATCAGAGAGGCGTTGACATAAATCAGACATGTGTCCTTCTCCCACAACAAACTGGACAACCACAGTCCTTTGTCCTGCTGTACTGCAAACCCATCCTCTAGGCCAGGGGTTCTCAAAACGTAGGCCCACATGAGCAGCATCAGCACCACCTGGGAACTTGTCAGAAATGCAGATTCTCAGGTCCCACTGAATCAGAAACTCAGAGATTTATGTTTCAGCAAGCCCTCCAGGTGATTCCAACGCATCCTAAAGTTTGAGAATCACTGTCCTGGAATATACATTCCAGAGGGCAGGAGTTTGTGCACTGCTGTGTCCCCAGTGCTGGAATGATGTCCGACACATAGCAGGTGCTCGGTAAGTATCTGCTGAATGAATGAATGAATGAATACACTAAATAATGAGTGAACACACATGTCCCCTCTCCCAGAATGAGCTCCTTGAAGGTAGGGATGGAGACGGATTAATTTTTCAGCTCCAAAATTCAACAAACATTCATTAAGTCCCCACACTGAGCAACATTGCCTTTAGGTGCTAGGGATAAAAAATAGAAGTCCCGACTCTCTTACTGTAAACAGACTTTAAAAATAATTACACTAACACGGCACAATAATGCTTCAATTATAATGTCACATAAAAAAATCAAGATTCTAAAATTCATGGACACAGTAATATGATGGCTATACAATATTTCCGTTTGTGGGCAATTTTTAAAAATTTATCTAATAAGCATGCATATTACTTTTATAGTTGAAAAATGTAAATATTCCAAAACTGTCTCATAGAGGGTGGTAAACGCAGTAATAGATGTAAAGGTACAGAAATGCAAGTGATTATTTCTGCTTGAAGGGGAGTCTGAAAAAAGTTCCTCACAGAAGGTCAGGGCTGTAATGAATGGACTGCTGTGATACAACAGGGAGAGGTGAGGAGTGTGGCAGAACTGGAGTGTGTATGCTTCACCTTAAACATTCAAATTCAATTTCTTTTTTCAAAATACAGTGGCTAGACAAAATCTATTTGGGGACCAAAGCTGCAAGAAGCTTTGAAGGATGAATAAGAATTCACCAGATGGGTGAAAGAAAGGGAGAAGGGCAATGCAGGTAAAGAGAAGGAAGCATAAACACTGGCAAAGGCTAGATGGTGTTGCAATAGCCTCATGTGTTGAGGAAACTTCTAGAAATATTTCTGAAACACGATCTGAGAAGCCAGGAGTACTCAGAAATGAGGTTGGACTGGAAATGACAAGGGCCATATCACAGATGTCACTGGATATCATGCCAACCAGGCTGGGACTTCACGTTGCAGGCCAGCATATCCCCAACATTTGTGCTACAGTAACATCAAGGCAGAAGAGAGTGGGGGTCTGAGGGCAAAGCACAAGATTTCTTTGAATGCTCATCTTTTCTCTTAAACATTAATGAAACTTTTGTATTGCACCATAGTGCTGCATGGTATCAAAACTTTTAAAAAGATGCCAAAGTTAAACAGCAGAGATCCCCCCCAATCCCAACCCCAAGCCGTCCAAAGAAGGTCATGTCTCAGGAATCTGGAAGATCTTTGTGTATAAATCTTTGTCTGCAGCTCTGCTTACTTCCTCCGGGTGCATTCCTGGAAGTGGAGTTAATGGGTCAAGGGATATTAACTTTTCAAAGGCTTGGTACAGGCTGCCAAATCATTTACCAGAAAGGGTGAGTAGTCCTTTTTAACCAGAAGAACCGCATTTAGATTTTATAAAGATCAATGTTTGGCTAGACTCTAGGGGCCTTGACACTTCTGGTTTTCTACCTTATTCTAGAACGCATAGGCACTTTCTTTTCTCTTTTTCGTGAAGTCATTTGACTATGTTTCTCAAACTGAACCCTGTTTGTTTCTCATTCACTCATGTATTCATTTGTCCATTCATAACCTTCACTGAGCAAGCCTAATGCACATCATAATGGCAGGTACTAGA